GGTTTATAGTTAGTCTTACAACCCTTATGCGTGAAAAATGAAAAGAGGGGTGTACAGCTTTGTGTCATAAGAATAAGACTTTGATCAGAATTTTCTGATCAGAAACGATACCCAATGCGCACAAGGTGGAAGGATATACAGTGGATAACGCTTTGTGGCCATTTTAGTGAAATAAGGCTGAAAAGTAAAGGAGATTTCAGCAAGCAACGTCAGCCCTTTATGCTTCTTCCAAGCGCATGTGAGGAGGGAGGTGGAGTGCTTGACTTTAGTCTTTAAAAAGTGAGCTGGATCAGAATTTTCTGATGCCTTTTTGTCCTATCCTAGCGCACATGGATGGAGAAATAAGGATAAAGTTTTGCCATAAATGGATAGCTTCCAATCAACGGCTGATGAGATGGATTTCTAAGGAACTTGTTGAGATAAAGGTACATGGAATTGGGCTGCACTAAGGATCCTTCCCAAGGCCCTAAGGCTGCGGCCCTTTAACATTTAGAAGCTAAAAATACAGTCCACAATGACACTCAATAAGACATTAACCCAATAACATTTTCAATCCAAGTGTGTCCTTAAGTAACATCGTATTTTCTTTTATTTTCTACGACACAATTATGCATTTCTATACTTTATAATTAATGTTTCTTATGCCTAAAATAAATCCTCACTTAATACTATAATTCAATAATTCCCTAATCTTAGTTTTAATCCTATGCTAGTTCTCAATAAATTCGAAAGCCAACAAACAATACACACACATATATATATATATATCAAATTTAATTTTCCACACGTGCATTCTTATTCTTAAGGTATTTTGTGTATTTTCCTAATTACGTGGGATGTTACAGTAGATGTTCTTAATAGTTTGGTATGAACATTTCTATATATATAGGTATTTGTTTTTTTTTTAAATTTAAATTACTACATATGATAATTAGAATATTTTTTGAAAATTTTTATTATTTCAGAAATTATGATTATGTGCAATATATGATATAAACTTTTATTTTAGAAATTATGATTATGTGTAATATATGATATAAAATGTTATTATTTTAGAAATTATAAGTATGTGCAATATATAGATCTTATTGAATAATTATGAAAATTATGGAATTATAATACTCTTTAAGAAAAACTTTCCAAATATGTGTTTTAATGATTGAATTTGAATATTTATATTATTAATAACTATGATAATTAATGTGATGAGATTATTTGAATGACGATGATTGGATTTGGATTTTTCTATGATGAATGTTGAAGATTTGAATTATTATATCCTTGAATAAATTGGAAAGTTATGATGAGGATCAGATTTGGATTTTTCTATGATGAATGTTGAAGATTTGAATTATTATATCTTTGAATAAATTGGAAAGTTATGATGAGGATCAGATTTGGATTTTACTGTGATGAATGTTGAAGATTTGAATTATCATATCCTTTAATAAATTGGAAAGTTATGATGATGATCGGATTTGGATTTTACTGTGATGAATGTTGAAGATTTGAATTATCATATCCTTGAATAAATTGGAAAGTTATGATGATGATCGGATTTGGATTTTACTATGATGAATGTTGAAGATTTGAATTGTTATATAAATTCAAAAATTTATGATAATAGTTGTTTGAATTATGATACTTTACCAAATGGTGGTAGCTCAGTTGCCGCATGGGAGCTGAGCAGGTGGGGGTGAGGGCATGTGTTCGAATCTCCCCAGTACCACCTTTGGGAGGGGTTTAAAGCCTTAATCCTGGACCCGCCCCGAATCGGACTAATCGCGAAGCGATGAACCAATGGAATATTTCCAAAAAGAAAAAATTATGATACTTTGGAAAATTATAATGCCCTTGAGTAACTCACTTAGAGATGATAATACTTAAAGAATAAATAATTATGATTGAATCTTTCGTGATTGTGTGTGTTTGTAATAAATTAATGGTGGGAGGATAGCTTTGGGATTGTACCTCCCAAAGTGATGAACACAACTTTTGGGCTTTATGCCTCCGATGTGAAACTGATGTGAAAAAAGATTATATCTGTTCTTCCCAAAGTGGTGTCTGGCAGGGTTTCCCGGGATACTAGTAGCAACTTTGGGAAGAGGTGTGCACACTAGGAAGATGTGAATTGATTATGGCCAATGTGATTTGTTTGTGACTGGCAGGGTTTCCCAGGTCACAGGGTAGACTGGCAGGGTTTCCCGGGTCTACCATGGTTCTCTTAACACTAAATATAATGAACTTAAACATTATTAATAATGAAATTTGTTATTTGATTTGATTATGAAGAATGTCATTGAGTTGTGAATATTATCATATTATGATTAATGTTGTGCTAAATATGTTAGTTGATAATTACCAAATACATTAAATGAACTTAATAAAGATAAATATTATATAATGAAATTTTGATTATTATATTGATATTTGATTTGATTAATGAGGAATTGATTTGAACACTATTTGATATTTGATTTAATTTGTTATTAATTACATTAATTGTATTTTGATTGGGATTACCAGCTTTTGCTGACTTTTGTGTTTGTTTAACTGCAATGATCCTTAACGGGGGAGCAGATTTTCAGTGAAGCATGTTGCAAAGGATGGGGCGAGCTGTGGGCAGTGAGGATCACGACTCGGATATTTCTAGCTAGTTCCTAAGTTTAGAAATTTTATGAGATTTAAATAAATGCATGAGACATATTTCCTTTATTTAAACTTTAGTCTTTGGTTTTATTTTAATGTAATAAATTTAGCCTTGCACCTGTCCATTGTACAGGTGCGGCGGTAACATTCCCCAAATTAGATTTAGATTAGCTTCCACAATATTTCTATTATTATAATTGTAAAAAAAATGAATTTTGACAATTTATTTATTTTAAGATTGTTTTATAAATTGTTAGAAATTTGGGGTGTTACAAAATTGAGTTTTATCTAATTTTCCTTCTTCCACATAATATAATGAGCCCTTTGCACTTATTTTTAGTGATTTGTGGGGACCTGCACCCATTCCTTCATCTCAAGGCTTTATGCATTATATTACATTTGTTGATGTTACAACAAGGTATACATGGATTTATCCCCTCAAACAAAAATCAGAATCATTAAGCATCTTCAAACAGTTTCACTCCTTTGTTTCCACTCAATTTAAACACAGCATCAAATCTGTCCAAACTGACTGGGTGGTGAATTTAGACCCTTCACAAAATTTCTTACAGACTTGGGAATAATTCATAGACTGATTTGTCCTCATATTCATCATCAAAATAGGTTAGTTGAAAGAAAACACGGACAAATTGTTGACATGTGACTGACTCTTCTTGCACATGTTTTCCTTCCCCTTAAGTACTGGGATCATGCTTTTCTTACATCTGTCTATTTAATAAATAGACTGCCTACATCAGCTTTAAACTTCAAAATTCCCTACTATGAACTTTATAAAACATTTCCTAATTATAAAATCCTTCGCACATTTGGATGTGCTTGTTTTCCTCTACTTCGTCCATACAATAAGCACAAATTTGATTTCAGATCTCAGGAATGTGTTTTCCTGGGATACTCACCCAGTCACAAAGGTTATAAATGCCTAAACTCTTGATGGAGAAATTTACATATCTAAAGATGTACTCTTTAATGAACACATATTTCCCTTTCCATTCATATTTTCTTCAACCTCATCAAGCATCCCAAATAATTCCACTTACTCAAGCAATATCATCCCACTAGCTTCTACTTCTCCTAATACATTCTCTCCATCACTTCCTCAGACCACTACCTCAGGGTCACCAACTGCAGCAATAAGAACCAATTCAAATGTTTCCTTCTCTGGACATACCGATGACTCTGCTCCTAACTTGATACATGATACATCATTTCATTCTTCTGACAGTGCTATACCGCCTTTTTCTTCTGACAGTGCAGTACCATCCTCTATTTCACCTAACTCTAATTCCTCACATAATAGAGTCAGTTCATCTCAACCTTCTGCTACTGCTGATAAATCTCCTAACACCAGTTTTACTCCCTCATCCAGTCAAATCAATCATTCTCAGTCTTCTAACTCAGCTCCCCACCCTTAAATACTACAGTGCAGTCACCTGTGTCCACTGTCTCTCCTATGTCTTTATCTTCTTCTCCACCTTCATTAGGATCTGGATATCAACCCTATAAATCTCTTAAAATACACTCTCCTACTCATACTATATTACCAGATCTAAAGGTCCAGTCCCTTCCATTTTCACTGCTCATATGGAACCAACCAGTGCTAAACAAGCTCTAACTGACCCCAAATGGGCTCAAGCTATGCAGCAGGAATATGATGCTCTCAGCAGGAATATGGTCTCTTATGCCTCTGTCAGCCTCAAGGAAGCCCATTGGTTGCAAATGGATCTTTAGAATAAAAGAAAATTCTGATGGTACAATTAATAAATACAAGGCAAGGCTAGTTGCCAAAGGTTTTCATCAACAATATGGCTAGGATTATAATGAAACATTTTCCCCAGTAGTAAAGCCTATTACTATTCGCACTATCTTCACCTTGGCTTTGTTTCATGGATGGCCTTTAAAACAACTTGATGTTAATAATGCTTCTCACCAAGGCTCTTTATGGATTAAAACAGGCTCCTAAGGCCTGGTTGGAAAATTATATATGTCTTTCATCATCTTGGTTTTGAAGTCTTGACAAGACCCTGTGAGGCTCACCTCTCTCTTTATTCTTCGCTCTAATGGCAGCTTTTGCACTCTATATCATCTTGGTTTATGTGGATCTCTTATCATCAATGGCAGCTGCACCTATATTCTAGTTTATGTGGATGATATTATCATCACAAGATTCTGACTTAATACAACTTCTAATTGATCAATTGCATTCTAAATTTGCCTTAAAACAGCTTGGAAATCTGGACTACTTTCTTAGGATCGAAGTTAAACATCTCTCCAATGGAAGGATACTGTTATCTCAATCAAAATATATTAGAGATCTTCTTTACAAAGCTGGAATGGCAGAAGCTAAAGGAATTTCCACTCCTATGCCTAGTGGATGCAAGCTAAGCAAATTTGGCTCTAACTATGTACCTGATCCCTCGCTTTACAGGTCCATTGTTGGAGCACTGCAATATGCTACATTAACAAGACCTGAAATTTCCTTTAGTGTGAATAAAGTCTGTCAATTTTTATCCCAGCCACTTGAGGAACATTGGAAAATTGTTAAACGCATTTTGAGGTATCTCAATGTCACTTTATCCTATGGTCTGGTATTTCATCCACCTTCATCACAACACCCTCTCTCACTTGTGGCCTTTTGTGATGCTGATTGGGATTCAGATCCGGATGATAGAAGATCAACCTCTGGAGCTTGTGTGTTCTTAGGCTCCAATCTCATCTCTTGGTGGGCTAAGAAGCAATCCCTAGTGGCACATTCAAGTGCTGAAACTGAGTATCGAAGCTTAGCCCATGTTGCAGCTGAAATTTTGTGGTTGCAATCTCTTTTGCAAGAGCTCCAAATTCCAGTTTAAGTCCATGTCATCTAATGTGATAATCAGAGCACAATTGCTCTTGCTCATAATCCAGTTTTGCACTCGAACAAAACATATGGAGCCAGATGTCTTCTTTGTCAGGGAAAAAGTTCTGGCTAAGTCCCTCATTGTGCAGCATGTTCCATCTTCCCTACAGGTTGCTGACACCTTCACTAAGCCTCTTTCTACTTCCGGATTTGCAGATCTCAAAGACAAGCTCAAGGTCTTGGATCATGCAATGCTAACCAAACCCCCTTGAGCTTGAAAGGGAGAATATTAGAGTAGCTCAGTTTATATCCTGTAAAATCAGTTACAACTTACAACAAAGTAACTGACTTGTAACTAATTGTAACTGACTTAGTTTTCTATTAGATTCTAACTCAGTGAGTTAATATTGTATAGTCAATTAACTCTCTGAAGTTAGCTTAGTTCAGTAGGTCTATAAATAGACCCCTGTGTAATTCTCTAAAGTGTGGTTATCATTTTTCACAATTTTGAAACTCAGTCTTTTTAGATTCGCTAATTCTCTCTTCCCTTTCTTTACATTCTTCGTTTAAACAACAATATAACGAAAATGCTTAAAAAAGTGGAATACGTTATAGCTACCAAGCTTTTATACTTTACCCATGACAAAGACAAACTTTATTAAAAATCAAAATAATGTTTAAATTGACAGAGCAAGATAGATAACATGCAAATTTGAAGCAGAAATGCCCACCATAATGCACATTTTTTCACCTTAAGATACAAAATCATAATATCTAATGGAAACACACACATGCACATCATGTTAGTATCAGTCAACATAGACATATGTGAAAAATTAAACAAAATCTCAGCAAAAAGATGAGACACTACCTGGACAACAACATCAGAAGAATCTATCACTTTGTAGAGCTCACCCCATATGCATTTACTTTGACCTTTTTCAAACATGGTATGCCGCACTAAATCTCTAAATCCATCTCCTTCATTAGCTTCTGCAGACACACTAGGATCATACTTCTGCTCAAAAGCCTCTGCAAAGTAACGTGGGATTAGGAAAAACAATAATGATAGTAATTAGATTAAGTACAACATTATTTGGTTGATGAAATGATCAATAACATAAAACAAGCACAAAAACTGTATTATTCAGTTTCAACTAAGTTGAAAAATCAAGTACACCAATGAAAAACAAGTAACAGATTAAGTTCTTAATGTTAACTACCCTAACCCCATTAAGCATCCAATATACTTCCTGCATTTCAAATTGTCTGTCACTTTAGAAAACAAAAAAGGCATTAATTTTTTTTCAATCTTATCCTTACCTCTTTTTTTTTTTGTATCTCGAGTAAGTGGAATTAAAACACATTAATTATGTGAAAGGGTAATTTAGTCAAATATAATTATCAACATCAACATCTTTATCCCGAACTTAGAAAAATTATATTTCCCTAAAATTAAATATATTCAATTATTTTCACAACCCTTGTCTAAAACCTTAAACGACAATTGTTCCGGGTTTATACATCCGGGTATCAATAGTCAAGGAGAAGAGTTGATAGAACCCGGATGGGGTTTTACCCGGAAGGGAAGTCGGCCAAAATACTATAACCCAAAGTGGGCCCTACCACGATTACATGATGGGTTTCTATAACTACCCACGTTCACAATTACCATGATGAGGGAGCGGAAGACGACGGAGGATACCTAGGAGAGGAAGATTCTTTCCGATCCAGTGGAAGGAATCGGTCTCTAGACACCATTGGAGAAGTTTTGATTCAGTTAGTGGAGGATATCAGGAATAGGCAACATCTAGAAGGAGGGCAAAGGAGACGTGGAGCAGAGGAAAGGCATCTTGTAGAGAATGAGCAGCAATCACCCAACAGAGGACGAGATTCTTTGTCTCCTCTTCCTAACTATATTCCTTTATCACCTCCAACAGTGGGGGGAAATAGAAGGAATGAAGGGAGGAGATGACAACTTTGTCAAGAGTCAAGGGGTTCTCCAGACGAGGAGCAAATCCGCGGATAGGAGAAAGGATACTTGAGGATTATGCCCGGAGAACAGGCCGGGCTAGGAAATATCAAAATAGTGAAGATGAACAGGTGGAAGAAGAGGTGACATGGGAGGAAGAACAGTATTTAGGAGCCCGTCAAGGTTATACTCGGCGAGATGAACGAGAGGTAAACAGAGGTCGATATAAAGAAACTTATCAAAGGTGGAGGCCGGAAGGAGGAAGAAATTATAGCAATCGCAGAGGTGAAGTTCCACGAGACGATACCGAGTACCATTACTGGGGTAGAGATCAAAGTCAAGGAGATGGAAGGCGACAAGCAAATTGGGATTATCAGCATTACGGACCAGGGAAGGCAGAAGGCTGGGGTCCTCATTATGGCAATAGACAAATGGCCAATAGGGAGCAGGATGTACCCGTTTGGAATGGACAACTCGGAGGAGCTCAACAAGGGATTCTGGCGCCCCCCATTAATCAGGGACCATCAGGAACTCCTTTGTCGGGGAGGCTTAGAGCAGAACCAATCCCGGTTTGGTTTAAGCAACCAAGTGACATGAAGGCGTATGATGGAAGTTCAGACCCAAAGGAGTTCGTGACCGTGTTCCGGGCATCAATGTCCTTGTGTGGCGAATCAGATTCATTGTTGTGTCGAACATTTCCTGTGTTTTTGAGAAAACAGGCTTTGGAGTGGTTTACGGCTTTACCAGATAACTCCATAGAAAGTTGGGTGGACTTAACACAACAGTTCGTGATTGCGGACGCCAGCCTAAAACAACGCAAAATTTGTGCGGAGTAAGACAAAAGTCCGGAGAAAAGTTGCGAGATTATTATGAACGTTTTCAGGCAGAAGCAAGACAAGTTAAGGGTTTAGAAAATCAAACGTACCTGTTGTTGTTCACTACTGGATTACAACCCGGAGGAATTGCCAACTCGTTAGCCAAAAAGGCTCTGGCTACAAAGGAAGATTTGCTAGAAAGAATCAGAAAGTATATTGATTTGGAAGAATTTAAATCTTCTCAAAAGCAAATTGAGCAAGGTTTTCGGGAAGCAAGTCAAAGTCGGAGGCCGCAGAGACCAGCAGGAAGAGGGCAGTTTGAAGAGCGACAACCTCGTCTAGTCGGAGAAAGATTCAGAGAGCCATATCGGAGGGAGTTCACGCCTTTGAACACGTCAAGAGCCCAGATATTTAAAGAAGTAATGTTGGCAGAAATGAGAAATGTCCCAAGGCCGCCACCCATTCAGTCAAAGTTTCCAGACAAAACCAAATGGTGTGAATTTCATCATGGGTACAGGCATTATACAAACGACTGTTTTAATTTACAGAACGTCATTGAACAATTGATCAAAGAAGGAAAGTTACAGAAGTACGTGAGAAGAGATGTAGATGGTAGCAATGAGGACAAACATCTCCCAATCAAGTCCAGTTGGGTCACGTGTGTACTATAGTCAGGGGCGAGCAGGAGGAGGAGAGTCGAGTAATGCTCGGAAAAAGCATTTAAAGATGTGCATGGCCATTTCATATAAGTCGCGTTTTAAGGAAGAAAGAAGGAAGACAGGCAAACAAGTAGTTTTTGATGACCTGGATGATGAGATAATTGATCCAGAGCACGACGATCCTTTAGTCATTTCTGGGCTGCTAGCAAGCTTTCGGGGTTGATAGAATGTTGTTAGACCCGGGGAGCTCGGTGGACATTATATTTTTGGATGCGTTTAGAAGAATGGATTTGGATTATGACCAGTTGGAGCCATGTGGAGCCGAGTTATTAGCTTTCACGAGAGATAAAATTAAGCCATTGGGATATATCCCATTGAGGATGACGTTAGGCAAGGCGCCCGCGCACAAAACGGTCACTTTGATGTTTGCAGCAGTAAAATTGAGCTCGGCGTACAATGTTATCTTGGGGCGGCCAGTTATGAAGAAGTTTAAAATCTTCTTGTCGATTGATCAGTTGGCTATGAAATTTGTGGCCAAAGATGAGTCAGTAGCTACGATAAAGGCAGACCAAGTGGTTTCTCGGAGTTGTTATAATATGACTCTACGAGTTCCACAAGCAGGTAAGGAGAAAAATATTGTGGAACCTCCACAACAAGCCAAAGAAGGAAATGTACAAAGAGAAGAAGAAGGAAAGAAAGAAGAACAAGTAATGGTGGTGGAGATGGACCCTCGGGAGGAGGACAAGGCGGATAGGCCGGAACCCGCCGGTGCAATGGAAGAAGTTCAATTAGGGATATCTCCACAGCAGTGTACTAAGATGGGGTCCGAGTTGGAGCCCGATGTGGCAGAGAGTTTGAAGCATTTGTTGAAAAAGAATGCTGATTTGTTTGCATGGAAACCTTCAGATATGCCCGGTATGGATCCGGCATTGTCTTGTCATCGCTTGGCAATGACCCCAGGAGTAAAGCCGGTAGTGCAGAAGAAACAAAGATTTTGTTTAGAAAGGAGGAGGGCCATTGAAGAAAAGACACAAGAGCTTTTGGAAGCAGGGTTTATTAGAGAAATAGAATATGCTACGTGGCTAGCCAACCCGGTGCTGATAAGGAAGCCAGATGGGAAGTGGAGAATGTGTACAGATTATACAGACTTGAATAAAGTTTGTCCTAAAGACCCATTTCCTTTACCAAGTATTGATCATTTAGTAGACAGAGCCTCTGGGTACAAAGTGTTGTCATTTATGGATGCATATTCCGGGTATAATCAGATACCGTTATGGAAGGAAGATCAAGAAAAAACAACGTTCATAACTGATAATGCAGTGTATTGTTATAATGTCATGCCATTTGGATTAAAGAATGCAGGAGCGACGTACATGAGGATGATGAACAAAGTGTTTAAGGCACAAATGGGTAGAATGTTGGAAGTATACATGGATGATATGATTGTGAAGTCGGGGGACGGTAAGACACATTTACAAGACTTGCAAGAGGTGTTCGAGCAGGTTAGGAAGCATAATATGCGCTTAAACCCAAGTAAGTGCGCTTTCAGGGTTCCAGCCGGAAAGTT